AGTAGGAACCTACCTCAGGATCAGCAGCCGCGCTTTCGAACACTAAACCAACGAGGTAGAAGTTATAATAAAAGTGTCATGGACGACGTCTATTATTAGGTGTTTTATAATTATAATAACTATAAACTCTCAATAAATGATGCAAAAATATAAATTATAGGATATTCGTTATAATAAACATATTGATTACAATCACAAAATATACATATTAATCACAGCCGCCCACAATTTCATTGCTAAAAAAAGCCTGAACTAAAGGCAGATTTACTTTATATCTCCTTTTATTTAAAAGTATTGATAAAAAGACAATGAAATATAATTTTCAATACAATATAAACACTCTGTATAGTCCGTTTATAAGAAATGACATTAAGCGGCTTGACCGCTTAATTGCAATAATTTAAAATAAAAAATTTTGTACAGCCGACTTCAATATAAGTTATATAATATATAAAAAATATAATTATATATAAAAAAAGAATTATTGAAATCGGTCCACCCATTAAAAGTTATGAGGTAACACACATAAAAAAAAAACATACGCATCGAATTGAGTACCGTCTCCTTTTTGGAAGTCGGCAGAAAAGTAACCACTTTATGTATTAATTATTGTACATTTTGGCATAAAACATTTTTAAAAAGTGTATGTTGCGTAAAATGGAATAGCTCATCAATATAGTATAACACAAGGTTCTAATTAAAATTATATTTTCTCTTTTTTTTTATTTATTGACTTTCGCAATAAAAGAAAATTTTTACCTTTGACATTGAAAAACATCTATCAGTATTTTTTATAATACTTGAGTAACAAACGAATCAACAAACCACTCAATGGTGAGTTACCACGCCGATGGAGTTCTGTAGCCAACGTCAAACAAAAAAAAACAAATGCGTTACCAGTTACCACCCTTGAGGATGACGACGAAACGTTACAATTGGTAATTATACTAGGTACTTAGCTCTTTTGTTATTCAAACCGAAACACAACAGAAAGAAGTATTAGGGTTACCAACCAGGTAGAAAATTTTACTTGTAATAAAAAGTAAAAGCCGAATTCAAAGAACTAAACAAAGCGAAGCTTTAGAATTCGATACTAAGATACAGTGTAGTATGTAGTTGTATTACTGTCGATGTTATTATGTGTTCATTCGTTAATTTCATGTTATTATTTGTGTATACTTTACGGGGGTGACATAGTCACTGTGTGACAAAACCCCTTTTTTGAAAATAAAGATTGAAAAAAAAAGATATAGTGTAGGTATAGAAATACGTATTAATGCCCCGACTTCAGAAGCTTTTATGAGGAAATTATTGTATTCTTTTTACTTCTTTGAAGTCTACTTTTATTTTATACTAGCTGTTCCCCGCGAATTCACCCGCGTGTAATTTAGAGTTTTAATTATGTTGCGCGGAACCCTAATTATTTTTCTAAAATATAAGTAGTCTAAGTTACTCCTGATAACATCAGCTATCTGCCAGTGAAAGACCCATCGAAATCGGTCCAGCCGTTCCGGAGATTAGTCGGAACAAACAGACAGACAGACAGAGAAAAATTTAAAATATTTTTTTTGTTATTAGTACCTAGAACCTACCGTATATAATTTCCTATGCATTTAGTAAAAAACTGTTATTTTACCGTTACAAACAGAAACTTCAATTTTATTTATTGGTAGGTATAGATTAAAACTTAAATTTTTGAACCTTTTGAGTAGACTACGGAATATTACAAGCTCGAGAAGTGACAACTAGAATGTCGTCTAAATAGCTTATGTTACAAACTTCACCCCTATTTTCCTTGGGGTTGGCAATTTTTTTCTCCAGATTTATATAGAACCACCTATTTGGAGAAAGTGGTTTTTAATTGAAGAAAATATAAACATACAGTCGAATTGAGAAGTTCCTTATTTTGTAACTGATTAGAAAGGAGTCCTCACCATCTCGTAAAATAGTCCTACCTCTTAAATTACACTTTGATGTTGACGATTTCTCCTAACCAATGTCAACGTACACAGACACTTCCTCGCCATAACCGTTGCTGCTTGCTCTTAACATATAATTACGAGTACGTTAATTATTGGCACTTTATGTTCTGACTGAGATATAAACCTAGGATCTGAAACTCAATAGCCGAAACTCTGATCACTGAGCAACATACAGATTACCAGCGTAAAATAGCAGCTCAATGTTGCTGTGTTTCGTATGGTGAGTGTAAATAAACGGTGACTCATTTTCCTGGAAACGGGGCATTCCCTCTTAGTCCTCAGGGGTGACAACGCATCTGCATTTTAACTCCTAATTGAGGATAGACGTATATGTCTATGGGCCTCAGAATCCACTTACCATCAGGTGGACTGTGCGCTCGTTTCGGACGTCTTTGGTATATGCACGTATTTAATGTATTAAATTGCAGGAAATATATTCGACAATGAAACTTTAAAAGCACACCTTGTCATTAATTTTTAAAAACAATAAATTATGTAAGTAGTTAATGTTGAGATTGGGTAGGTACCTAACGAAAATATGCATTACCTTCCTTTTTGTCAAGGTTCATTGTAAACACATTATAAAGCCAAAGACTCCAGCGTGTTGTGAAGGTTATTTCTGTCTCCATACACCAGCCAAGTTATGTATAGCGAATAAAATAAAAAATGTAAGATTCTTTTTAGTATATCAATAACGATGATGTTAATGTGATCCAGCGTGATGTAATTTAAAGTCTCCACTAGTTTTCTACATGGTCAAACATAGGGAAAAGGTAAGAAGATAGCCCCAAACGGCCAAAAACTGGGTACGATCGTATATTATGCTAATAACATTATTTGACCGTGAAAATCTAACGCCGAACACAGAGCATAATCCTGATATAATACTACAGTAACATTTGGATTATTTACCATAGATGCTACTTTTGTGCAGTGTTAAATAATTTGGGCAAAACTGTTGCTTTTTATTGTATAGTATGTTATTCGTCTGTCAATCTTCTCGGCTTTTTATGCCTGCATAATGGGTTAATGGGTCTCGAAGCGATACGAAAGACCTGCTCTGACATTCGCCCAACATATCGCGAAATAAGGTTCATTTAACAAGCTAACCTCCTTGGGGATGTCATAGAGATAGAAAAACCACTCCAAATACCAACTTCACCAGAACGTAGTAGTGAAGTGTGGTGTGGTACACTCTCACAATAAAAGCGTATAATAGCAGCTTAATGCTGCTATATTTCGTTTGGTACGTGTAAAGTACCAGAAACCCTATAACTGTTAACGCGCCATTGTATAGTCCTCAGGGATGACAACCAGTCGTGGCTAAATTAGGTCTAGAGGTCATTATTTATTACTTATCATCATTTATAAATTTTTAAATCAGATTGATTTATTATTTAAGAAGAACGCGAGCCCGGCAGAGCGATTGTGTAACGCTGGTAGCTCAAGAATTGTTGACTGATGAAAAGTTCTCGCTGGGATTGAAAATTATTTTTCATTAAGGTTACGATAATATTAACAGAATTCAACCTTCACGCTCAAGTAAAGGATCGTTAAAAGTGGTAGGCATTGAGAAAAAAAGGACTGTTGTACCTACATAATATTTAAGCCATAGGTAGTACCTGTACGTGGTAGAGCCATGCTGCAGCTATATTAGTAGTATAGTTGTAGCACGAATGGGTCGGCTCGACCGGGGAAAGACCACGTTCTCACAGAATACCAGCGTAAAATAGCATCTTAACACTGCTGTGTTTCGTATGGTGAGTGTAGAGAATCGGAGACCCATTTTACTGGTAAAGAGGTAATCCATCTTAGTTCTTACGGGTGACAACGCATCTACATCTGGATTCACAAACGAGGATAGATGTAGATGTCTATGGGCCACAGCAACCACTTACCATCAGGTGGATGGTGTGCTCGTTTGTCACCCTATCCTATAAAAAAAAACCCATGTAGGGTTTATTTGATCGTGTAGTTCCAAGCAGGCAATAAGTTGAATTGCTATCTTAGTAGTACTTTGTAATTATCTTTTTATTATTTATTGGTCGGCTCTCCAACTAAGTATAAGTAAATATGGTCAAAAGTCTGGGTTTTAATTCTAGGACAGGGAATGCTGGGATGATTAAATCATAATGACTGAAGTCGCTATAACGAAAAAATGACAAACCATTTACCAAACATTTAAAATCATCGTGATTTATGTATTTGTCAACGTTTCTAAAACTTAATTTTAAGATTAAAAATATGTTAGCAAAACCTGAGATCAAGAAACAGGATGACATTGGCAGATTAGGTTGTTTTAAGATTTAACCACAGAATAAATAATAGATTTAACGTTATCATTTGAGTTCAGTATGAGTACATGAGAAATAAAACGCGAGTCATAAAGGTACACCACAGTACATATTACTAAATCAATGCTTTTATATGACTTTATGTGCTAAATACGTAATAAGTGTCAGAAAAAAATAATTAAAACCGTATGATTTTTTTTACGTGTTACGGATATTTTCACTTTTGGATCCATAAACTGTCCTGAAGTTTTATATATGAAATATTATTATTACATTATAATAAATCATATTATTTTGTTTTGTTAATGACTCCTCACTTCAAAGTAAAATTATTTTGGCACTATTTAGCAGATCACTAACTCGAACACTGATAAAATCTGTATCGATATAAGCACGATACCACCCGCAGTTTAAAGATTAGACTCTCTTTAAATTGTGACGATACTTTATGTTCTTGTACTATTATTTATTCTGTGCTTTATGTCGTACGTTATTCATTGAAAAGTTAAAACATTCTTTCTTTTAATTTGCCCAGTAGGATTGAACAGGCAAATTTGGAATTGTGTTGCCAACGATGCGTAAAATTCAATGGTAGAAGCAGCAGCTCTACCTATCTCATCATCAGTGATAATGCTCGGTTTGGCAACGTCGCGCCGCTCACCTGGCGTTTACCTGCGCAGTGTCAACAGGGGGGCAAGCACGAAGCGCGACGGCGAACCGGAACGCAGTCGATCCTCCGAAGCGAACAGATACGCGTGTTCGTGTCATAGCTTTATTTTATTTAAATCAACAATTACATAAATCGAACTTAGCAACAGTCGCATAGCGTCGTAGTGAAATAATTGTGTTAAATGAGAACTGTTTAACGCTTCAGACATTGGAGGTATTAAAACTTGGAATCGTGCATTGACACCTATCAAAATCCAGAACTCGTCGCCGCCGAACTAAGTTTCGGCATGAATTCGTGTACCTGTTGTGATGCGAATTAATTCCAGATTTTCACTTACAGCGGAAACAGCTTACGTAGACGAGTAGCGGTAAAACGCCGTCCGCGCCGCACGCGAGTTCTTGTATTGCGTTGGTTAACCGTCGGGTTTCTAAAGTGCTTTTAACGCGTTTTTAAAACAGCAAACACCGAAACCTTACGTGGTTTCGGACCTCGCGGTCGGTGTCGTTGGTCCAGCGCGCCTGTAACATTTTGACACTCGCATGTGCCGTTAGAAAGCGTCTAACGAATCTCATCTAATTAGTATGCGTTTGTGAAGTCATCTCGGCGACTCAATCACGGTTAGAGATCTGGATGGACTTGTGGTGAGACGACACGTCGTATTGCCAGCGGCTGTGGGTTGTGTTTCTGTGAGGTAGCGCGGTGTATGGCGCGATGATCAGCGGCGGCTTGGTGTGCGCACTGCACGTGCGTACCGCGGGTCTTGGTGGTGCTGCTCTAGGCTCCGACGAGGAGGAGATTGTATATCTCGCTTATGTTGTCATAGATGTCCTCACCAATCAGGTAAGATGTTAAAATAACCTATAAAAATAAACTATTTATACGAACATACTTTTCTTCTGAACCTACCCTTTGTAACTTATGTAATTAGATGAATGTATACTGCAATATAAATAAATGAAATCGATATTTTACATCTTTTTCACGATAATGTTCTGATTATACTTTCCTACTTAGACGTAAACGAGATGGCTATACCATCATTTATCGGAATCTGTAGGATTTTGCGGCATTCCATAGTTGTCTTCTAGTCACCCACGGATCGAAAGGCGTTATGATTGTCTTAGACCTCCATCACACAGCGTAAGTTGGTAGTTAAAGCTTATTCCCAATTAAGAACTTCTACATATATGCTCAAATGTTGATGATTTGTGTTTAATAAATATCTTTAAACGACATTATGTAGTCCAGGAGGAATCGGCGCATGAGTACCGAAAACCATTCCATCTCACTTTTTTTTATGCGATTGTCTTCAAATTGTCCTACTGATGATATAAATGCATTTAGCCATGAGGCAACTAGGTGCCATATTGTTTAAACCCTTTTTTTTTTGTTTCAATTGCTAGGAATGGTTACTTTTAAAAGGGACATTGGTAATAATATTCTTTGATAGGTATAATTTAAAGTTAAAAATTTTGTACAGCCGACTTCAATATAAGTTATTAAGAATAACTCAAAACTATTGGTCTGACCTTGATCAAATTCATATGGGACCACACGAGAAGTAACAGCTTTCAAATAAAAAAAAATCATCGAAATCGGTTCACCCAGTAAAAAGTTAGTAGTTAGGTAGGAACACACATAAAAAAAACATACAGTCGAATTGAGTACCGTCTCCTTTTTGAAAGTCTGCAGAAAATACAAATATGACTTTACGATAAAGTTAATATTTTCGTAGTTATGGATCTTTAAAGGTTTAAAAATGTCAAACTCGAATACTTTTGACCCATTAAACATACCTATAAAAAGAAAAATAATAAAACGTAAAAGACATTTTTTTTTGTATTTATTGATGAAATACGACAAAAAGTTTCTATGATTTTTAAAATAGAGTTAATGTTTTCGGGGTTATGAATTTTTAAATATTTGAAAAATCCCGAATTCTTTTTCTCCTGAGTTACTTTTCATACATTAAAAATATATCTATATAAAAAAGGAATAAAATATAAAAGATGTTTAAAGTTAAACGGTACTCATGCGCCGGTTCCTCCTGAACTGTAATCAAATGATACAGTACTGACAAATATCAATAAAATATCAGTTTTAAATTTCTTTTTCAATATGGAATTTAAATTAATCGAATATGCTTTCTATTTTCTGCCTTTCTTCCAATAAAAACATAAAAATGATGTAAAAAAAATTACTTTCAGTAAAAAATTGATTTTTCCAACTACTTAATAATTTCAGTGTGTACAGCAAGGAAGGATAGTAACAATTACTTTGATTATGTAACATACAAATAATCAAATAATAATAATAACTTATTTTATTTAAAATAGTTTACATAAGTCTCTGCGTAACACATTTTACTATGTACCTACCTACTATGTGTAACGTAACAGACGTAAGAATAAGGCCTTAAGAAAATATAAACGTATTGGGCGCGCTTTGTTCCTATTGCCCAGTAATCAATAAATGACTTTATTTTATACCATACAAACGAACACATAGTCCACCTGAGCGTACGCGGATGCTCTGGTCTTGAGACATCTATCCTCGATTAAGATTCAAAATGTAGACGCACTGTCCCCTCAGAGGACTGAGATAGAAAGAAAGTAAAAAGGGTCACACTCACCATATGAAACACAGCAGCTGCTATTTTTAGCTGGTAGTTATCTATGGTGTTTCTACCACGTATTAAACATCTAAGATTACATTATTTTTACACAACTTTCTCACAGCCCTTAAATCTATCCTAGTCAGAATTTGTAAGATAACGATGTCCCCCAGGCCGTTTTTTAACCACGGTGAACAAATCTGGAGCAATTTGGTGATTTAAATTATGTAGGATGACAAGAGTACGGGCTTAAGCCTCCTATCGTCACAGACATGGGTACAATCACACCAAACCCATATTCGAAAATTGGCTGTTTGGGTTTTTGTACAAATCTTGTCTCTATTTAAAAAAAATAATGTCCTCTCGGTCTGGAGGCCTGTTTGACATACATCAGAAAATGGCGGAGGTTCTCAATTTGTCGATGTATTTTTATGAATGTTCAGCGTTAATTCTTTACCTTTTGTCCGATTGCAATGATTCTGTTAGAAAGAGGGTACTTCGGGGTTGGTCCCATATAAGTTTAGTCAAGACCAGATGATGGGATCCGTGAGAAAAACATCAATAACTAAAATTTGCAAAGGCATACGACATATTATACAGCTGAATAATTGTTTACCATGTCAACCGATTTTCATGACCTTTCATAAAGAATACCTATTAGTTCTTCGAAGTTAGTGCAGTTAATAAACACCTCGACCCGAAAATCTTATTTGTAAGCCATGCAAGTGCTTGCCCGTGCGGGAATTGAAATCCTCACCCAATAGACGTTAGCCGTTCGTAATACAGAGGCGACGAAAAATAATTTATAAATGTATTGAATAAAACTACTTTTACGGATTTTATCGCGTTTAATTCCCGACGTTTCGTGTGCTTTGCAGCACCCATCCAGGTCACGGAGGACTGAAAATGGACCACGGGTGCTGGAAAGCACTCGTTTTATTCAATGTGTAGATTCGCGTGAATACAAGAAAACATTATAAATTTATTTTTAATCATAAATTAGCAAAAATATTTCAAGAGTAATTAAAACAAGCACAGTCAAGGAAGACAGATATGAACAACTATAGATACATCAGTCTTTAAAACAGTCAGTGTTGCGTAAATCACGTTTTCAAGCCTCACGGTGATAAGGCTGATTGTAAAAGTATCGTGTCCTTATGTTTTTGTATACATTTACAAATTTATAATTTTACTTACATTCTGTTCGAAATTTGAATTAAAAAAATTAGATGGCCATCTTCTATAGTATTTTCGCTAGACTGAGTATTACAAACATTTTATGTATGTACATCACGTTTCCGAGCCTGACGATGATAAGGCTGCTTGTATCAGTATCGTGTTACGTGTCCTTATGTTTTTATTTACGTTTGCTAACATTCTGTTAGAAATATGAATTAAAAAATTCGGTGGCTGCTTTGAAAATAGGATTTCCGTTACACAGAGAATTAAAAATATTTATATTTTTTATTATTTTATTTTTCCGCCTATTAGGGCATAGCCGGCTAATAATAGGTGCAGCCGATTCCGTTTGGTTAAACTTAGGTGTATGTGTTCGATTATAAGAGCAGGTGAGCCGTTTTTAGGTCTAACAAAGCCGGAATACTAACTGAAATAGCTAGCTTCTGCTAGTATTGTCAAAAATACGATAACACCTATAATCCTCGGGCCTTGAAGCCGCGGAGTTTTATGTTATATGTAAATTAATTGGAATTTACTCGAAAAGTATGAGCAAAATAAACCCAGGTAATCCTAGGCTTATTTTTTTAACTGGCATTGCCCATCAAATTTAATACAATTAGGTTTAACCAACCGCAATCGGCTGCACCTAGTTATAGGCAGCTAAACTTAATTAGGTAATATTTTAATTTAAAAATACAAATAACCTGATAAATTAAATAAACTAATTTATCCGTCAGCCGGTCAGTGAGATTAGTGAGATTCTATGTCCGGTCTGTTCGTCCGTTACTCATGTACTTGGTGGAGTCACGCTTCAGCTATATTTCGGTTGTAGTACGAATGGATCGGCTTCATGGAGGAAAGACCATGTTCTCACAGAATACCAACTAACGAGGCATTCTATCCCAGTCCTCAAAAGTGTCAACGCGTCTGCATTTTGATTCTTAATTGAAGGCAGCGAGCGAGATAGCAATGTCAATGGGCCACAGCATCCACTTACCACCGGTTGAATAAAAATCAGCCTCCTAACTTAGTGACGGCTGTAATTTATTCAATAAGCTCGGTGGTATTTAGGCGCAGTGTCAGAGACACGAAGACAATCACAGCACAACCCAAAAACAGTATATTTTTGAATAAATTCTAATTCGAACCCACAGAATTTATTTTGCTAATGTTCGATTAGAAATGTTTCCTATGTAATAAAGGTCTTATTTTGTTACAATATTATTATTTTGAGATAAAAAACTTTTTAAAATGGACTTTGTTTTATAATCTTATAACTATTATATTTGTAACTATGTTTATTAAAAATTAAAAATAATAATAATAGCCATGTTTTTCTTTGCATTTCATTGACGGTTACTAAATTATTTCTCATTAATTAATTTTAAATAAATTCTCATTTACTATAACGACTTTTGTAGAACTAATTTAATTAAATAGAAATTTCACAAAAGTGCTTAGTCTTTTTTTTTTTTTTTTTTTTTTTTTATAGGAGAGGGGGCAAACGAGCATGCGGCTCACCTGATGGTAAGTGACTACCGCCGCCCATGAACAACCGCAACACCAGGGGAATTGCAGATGCGTTGCCGGCCTTTTAAAAAGGAGTAGGCTCTTTTCTTGAAGGTCCCTAAGTCGTATCGGTCCGGAAAAATCCCTGGTGGTAAACTATTCCACAAGGAAGTTGTGCGAGGAAGAAAACATCTTCTAAATCGCACAGTGGTGGACCGCCAATCATCCAGATGGTGTGGATGGTATCGGGAGTTCTGCCGCGATGTGCGTTCGTGAAATTTGGCGGCTGGGATTAATCCGAACAATTCCTCAGAGCACTCCCCATGGTAGATGCGAAAGAAAATGCAAAGAGATGCAACATCTCTTCGCAGTGCCAATGAATCGAGCCGATCGGAAAGGGCTCGGTCGTCGACGATTCGAGCCGCTCTGCGCTGGATGCGGTCAAGTGGAAGGAGCTGGCACTGGGGAGCCCCTGCCCAGAGATGGGAACAGTATTCCATGTGAGGCCGAACCTGCGCCTTGTAAAGTTGCAGGCGGT